GAGGAAGTGAGCAGACAATCGCTTGCAGCACTGCAAACCGTCTTTTCATATCCTGCGATCAGTCTCTACGATGTACGGCAGTGGACGTTCACTCCGCTGTAGAACAGGGAAGGCTCACCGGACATTTGAAAAGCTGAACATGCATGAGATCAGCGATGGACACGTCCGTTTTGACATCAGTATAGTCCTCTTCAAAATGCATCGTACAACTGACGTTATGATCCAAGGCCAACGTAGGGAATGACTGCGGACAAACACGTCCTGTGCCTGTTGCAATGAGAAATACCATATGCATCCATGCTTTAGACGCAGCCCCAATCCTGCGGCATCGAATTGCATCAATCTGCAAAATATGCACTGTGTAGCAATATGGCTCATCGTTGGAAATAAGGTGAGGACGAATCATCCGACAGAATAAAACCGGAAGTGGTCGAAGCTTGTCCTGAAGAAGTCGCGCCGTAATATGTACTGCATGATGTCGATCCATCACTCTGGCTGAAAGAGCTTGTCCAGTCAAATGCGAAATCGCCGGCAATTCAAGCTCAAACGTAAGAGTCAGCAGCGACGGAAGCAGGTAAGACATAATAGTGTTAGATACTTCCGGAATCATCAATGCGGTGCGGTCAGCCATTCTCCTATACCGTAAGACAGCAGAAGGGCTTAAGTGAGTAAAGGCTGCAATGCAGAAGCGACATGTCAAAAACTTTCTACAGGAATCACAACAATCACAGGCGAGCACGGCAAACACTCATTTTTATCCCCGTTCAAGGCATTGTGGGTTGTTCCAGAGCACTACGGAATTCGCAGTCCATGAAGTGGTTCTCCGGGAGCAAACTCAGGGTCCATAACTTCTTGGGTTCGACGAAGAAGAGTGATGATGCGCTGTTGTTCAATTTGCCAAGTCTGAAGCAAATTGGTAAGTGATGAAAGCTGTTGACGCATCTTTTCATGCTCCACCATCATGGCATTCAAGCTGACCCTGAAAGGTGCGAATCAGCAACTCAGGCTGAGAGTATGTAACCGGTGTCACATGTGCGGTAGCACTGGTTTCCACGATGTCCTCATACGTGTCAACTTCTGTACGAACCTGCATATTGCTCGGCGAATCCTGTACCTGTCCGTCTGATGCGCCGACGGTACCCAACGTACTCGAATCCATGGCTTCCAACAAGTTCGGGTACACGAGTTGGGTATGACGTTTAATAGCACAGATGCCTGTGGTCCAAAACACACACACACACACACACAAAGAAGATGACCAACTGCACAAGCGAGCAACACTGAGTTGGATAGGACTCAAGTCTCAATTGCTCTGCACACAGGCTAAGGACCTCTTTTTATCAAATGGACTGCTATACCGTCAGCGTAGTAGTGGGGAGCCAGCTGGTGAGACCGTCGTATCGGATCTAGAGCGAGAGCGTTCCCTGATCATAGCATCCGTCCAGTTCCATTGCGGTCCAAGAGCAGGGTGTCGCCGCTGACGACGTCTTCGGGGTAAACCTGCTCTACTACGCGGATCAATTTCTCTCATGGCTGCCAAAGAGACTGCATGGTGATGCTGCCGAGTGGGGGAACTGCCGCAACCGCAATGCTGCATCTTCTGATTCTGACGGCACAGCACTGCTCAACGTCCCTGATGACAAGACAAAAACAACCGGGGAAGAAGAAGAAGAGGGAACCAACGAAGAGGGAGGAGACAGAAAAGAACGAGGAGGGGGAGCAGAAGAGGAAGAAAAGGACGACACCGGCCGAGGAAGAGACGGGGAGGAGGAAAAGGGGAAAGAGGGAGGAGGGGGAGCAGAAGAGGAAGAAAAGGACGACACCGGCCGAGGAAGAGACGGGGAGGAGGAAAAGGGGAAAGAGGGAGGAGGGAACGGAGGAGGAGGGAGGAGGAGGAAGGGGAGGAAATAAGAGGGAGGAGGGAGGGGAGGAGGGGGAAGCGGGGGAAGAGAAGGGGAGAGAGAGAGAGAGAGGGAAGCGAAGGGAGCAGAGACAAAGGAGGAAGAAAAAGACGGCAAGTCAGACGGCGGACGAGAAAAGGAGGGACTCGTCAAGCAGGCCTGTGCAGCACCGTTGGTCTGATCCGAAAAGGTAGTAGCTCCACCATCACGAGCATTTGCAGCATGTAAATGTCTGGCAATAGCGGCGTCTGTGTCAGTTCGGATACGCTGCTTCAGAATGCGGCATAACTCACGAACTTTTGAGGCATCCGTCAGAATTCGGAAAAGAGCCTTGGCATGTTCATCATTCAAGCTGTCGACAAGCTCTCGGCACGGCGGCAGTAGGTCCGACATCATGGACGCTAATCTCTTGGACCTGCTGGCTGTGGAGCACATCTCCTGGAATAGGCATCGACAACTGCGCAAAGCTTCAGTGTGCAGATCACGGGATTTTTACTTAGGGCACAGAGCACTGGCTTCCACAGCTGTACAACTGAACTCACGGCGTGAGTACACGAATGTCAGAAGAGCGAAAGGAGCAATGTGACATCGTCACTTCTGGTAGTCTACACCAGCATGTATGAATAGCCACAAATTGCGCAGTGCACCGCAAGTCAATATTGGATCCGATTGGCACTCTAAGTCGCATCAGCCACTTGTAGTAGTGCTGGGTCAACATCCGGCTTTGCCTGGATAATTGCAGAAGAGCTTTGCTGATTGTCGGGAGCAAGTGTGTAAATCGGAAAGTAGCGCAATCATTCGAAAGATCTGCAAAATTGTGTGCCTGAAAACAGCGGCCAACTCCAAGTGTCAACCACCGACTCCATTGATCGTACCGAGACTGTCTGCAGATATCCGGTGCTGAACATGAAAATGGATCAACTTGAACAATGCTGCAGACCATCAGAAAGGATAGCATTTGTACGCAGATGCTGGGATGTCTCCAGAGCTCGACAAGCGGTGACATGTTTCCTATTGCAGGCATTAAAAGGCTGCGGAGAGAAGAAAGTGCAAACATATGCTCGACATCAAGACTGCAAAAACCGTAAAGGGGCGACGGTGCACACATTCTAGTATTCAGATCTGCAAAACATCAGATCTTAGCTTTTGGCGCCTGCATAGATACTCACGAGATGGGGTGTCGGACACGTTTCATCTGAACATAGCAGATGAGGCTGCATCCAATGGCAAGCCGCAGCAGCAAAGGTGACTTGAGGCAAAGCAGGTGCTTTGAACATCACGGGAACGTATAGCATGTGCCCTTGAATAAGTTCTTCAACCAGCATGAACTGCCGAAGACCGGTATCCACCTGACGAATCTCTAGGCGTGTCGGTTCCGGACCTGTGCTGATCGCATTGTGTAGAAAAATATTGACAGCTCCGATGTCTCCCATCTGATCTAGAATCAGATTCTTGAGGAGCCGAATCACGTGCTGTAAATAGGTGTGATATAGACCTTGTTCAGACTCAGGAATGAGCGACCTGAGTTCCGGCCGTTGATCCGTCTCATAACCCGGGGCTCTTGAGAAGTAAAAGGACAAAGTGCATGTTCGTTCAGCGATAAAGCTGAAAATGCGATCTGACACATTGGGCAAGCTGAACACTTCCGCCATGGCAAGTACCTAAAGCGTCGCAGGGGGTAAGCCAAATACCTGAACAGTAATCAACTTGAAGTCAGACATGGCTCGAAACATGACTGAACAATTGCAATACAGGCGACAATTTTACGCAGCCGTCATGAACTCCGATCCGATGTGGATTCCGAAAAGTCGGACTCCGAGCAGAAACCATGGTCTGAACGAGGAGAAGAAAGAGAAGAAGAAAAGGGAGAGCCGACAAGGGGAGAGACACAGAGAGAGGGAGGAGAGAGCAAAACAGAAGACGAAAAGGAGCGAACCGAAAGCGAAGAGGACACAAGAGACCGAGCAAACGAGGAAGCAGGAGAAAACAGGAACGGAGAGGAGACAAGAGGAAGAGAAAGAGGACACGGAGGGGAGAAGCCACAGGCAGAGAAAGGAGACACACCGGGCAAAGGGAGCAGCGGAGGCGAGGGACCAGAAAGAGAAGAGGAAGAAGAGGAGGAGGGCAAGACCGGGACACGAAAACCAAGGAAACGAGCAAGAGAGAGACAGGAAGAGTCGGGTGAGACGGGACTGTTTCTGCGAACACAGAAAAAGACCATCATATATCTGCTGCCATGAAAAGGCAGCGTAGCATGAATAGTGTTGCCATCAAAACATGTAGGTTGACAAACATCCAATCGTCTGCCGCGAAGAATATCTCCAATTCGAGCAACTCGACACATGTGGTCCGTTATAGTCAGTTGATCAGGACCATGTGGGTCATGAAGAAATAGGTCACCACCGGTCCAATGGCCCAAGGCCCATCCAATGCTGCAGCCCCGATTGTTGGAGTCGCGATGTGGAATGGTTCGCAAGTTTCGATTAATCTGAATACTGGTGCATTCGAAATCGTGTAAATAGGGCAATAGCTGTATCGCCCGCATCAACAACCTTGTCAAATTGGGAAATCGGAAAGTGTTCTTCGTGAATTGTAGGCGTCCGCGCGACTGTACACCAGCATACAGTCCGAGAAGACTCTGGTCAGCATGAGTATGTTGATCCGACCTAACATTTCTTCTGGAATCGCTCATCCACACGTCATTCGGAATGGATACGAAAGTCCGGTAAATGTGTTCGACGCACTCCTCTGATGAGTGAATCGAAGAGACGCATACATTCGGATCCAACTGACTTCTGTGAGTGTGGTGCATGGCTGGGTGTCTATCAATCTTTGAGACTGAAACCTTTCGGATATACCAACTGAAAGGAGCAAATCAAGCAAAGTGGCAGCAGCGACAACTGGATTAAACATGCTACCAAGCACTGCACCGCATTTTTGCTCGGAAGAAATCCTTCACCCATCGGAGCGCGAGAAGCTCAAAACATGGGCCGTGAGCATCCGGTCATCGGCAGTCAATCAACTTCGGTCGTCAAGAATCCTAATGAACAAGAGCAGCAAAATCACGAAACAACACCCGAAAACAACAACCAAAACAATCTACGACTGCCAACCAGACCAGAACGTAGCTGCTCCCATCAGGATGCTGCGGGAGCTTCGAAAAAGCCAACGTCCGTCGGATCCATGAACCAGATCAAACATGTGTCCGAAAACTGGATCGGTCGTATGCGCAACCTTTGCATGCAAATGCTGACGAACCAATGTCCATCCAATTGCAGCAACCGTTCTCGTGTCGGATTCCTTCCCGCCATAACGGCGAGCACTGTGCATCGAAGATGTCATGGCACACAAGTGGTCCGGTTGGGATCCATCAAGCACAGGCTGTCGGATGTCAGAGGTGGGGTGCACCATACATCCGTAGAAGCCCATGGACGGAGGCCACGTCTTGTCTCCGCGATCATAATAGCTGGGTCGAATGACCTTCTGGGCAATGATCGACGACAAGTCTTGGCATACCGTGTTATGCACAAAAGGCACACTGTAGCAGGTGTTAGGGTCATCCGGAAGCTGAGTGCCAAGAATGAGATAAATCCGACGGGGGCATCAAATCCTCCCATGTCACTGGCACCGCTGAATTGGTCTGACCCAGATGGAAACAACCAATATGCACCGCGGCCTGCCAACATATCCTCTCGGACAAAAGGTTTCAACTTTTGAACCGCCGACAAAGATCTGGCAAGGCCTTTGATCTGCTGAATCGGCACGGTCCCCATCGGCAATGTCTGACTTTCATCCGACCAAGCAAGCCGGGCATTGGCATCAGCTCCAGCTAGCAGAGTTGCCAACCAACGTTCCTGCGTATCATATGGCCCTGCATTCAGAACTGGGCATTGCTCGCTGCTCAACTCCACGGCTGCGCGGATACGGCTAGGATCCTCAATAACCGCAGCCCGGAAGTGCAGCAAGAGCTTTTCAAAAATCTTCCACTGCGATTTCTTCTCCTTGGTGTTGTCCGTCGGATCAAATCCGTACAACTCCATGCTGGAAACAATCCTTGTGCAGTGAAACTGCCCCCAAACCGCATGCTGATGATCAAACCTGCCTCTCTGATGCGGTGGGACAGGCCAGAACCGCACCCACAATTCCGAATAATCATCTGTATTGATCTTAATCCAATCACGAGATAGCTCCGGGAGCATTGGGCCTGTGGGTGAATCTGAATACTTGCAGCGTTCATGCCTTGTCCAGCTGTAAGGGTCAGGAATGGAGCAGGAGGTGGAGCACGGGGAAGGGGCGCCCTTTCCGAAGAGCTCTCAGATGGCAAAGCGGGGGTGCGGGGGGGAGGGGGGAAGGAGGTGGGCGGGGAGGGGGTTGCCAAAGCCCATTCCGGAAGCTGGTTGGGATTGGCTAGGGCGCGGCTAACTTCCTGAGATACACGCCAGCGAATGTACATCTCCGGAGAGGTGCTGGGGGTTCCCGGAGGTCCGGAGGACTTCGGAAAAAGATTCATCAACTTCTTCCGGGTAAGAGCCATGGCACTGAGGGGTGCAAGAGGGATACACTGCTGCATACAGAATCCGCAAGATCTTGAGCATTACCACAATGGTTTAGATAGGTTCCAAGGTGCAAGCGCAAGTGGCAACAGCGACTGAATCAAAAATACAAGCACAAGATGGCAAGAGCTTCTTTCCCGTATGTTAGTCCGACTGCGACACGTGACGACGATCAGCTTGAAATCGTATGTGCTTCAGAATGGGTGAGAGCAAGCGTTCATCATACGCCTGATTCTTGTATGCCTGCAGCAACAGTTGAAGATCGCGATCCCGTTGCTCCATTGGCCACGACGCCCTGGTAATCAAATGTGCTCTGGAACGAAAGCTGCTCAACAGCGTTCGAGTGTTGGCCGCAGATAGCCGATGCAAGAACTTCCAAGATGCCTCAGGCTGAACATACGAAACTGTGCGAGCAATGGGGTCTACCTCAAAACCAAGAAAGACATTGCCCTCTTCATACCAGCACAATAGGCGGGATGTACACATCCTGGTGCAAGAAAGCCTGTACCACCAACTGTTTGTCACAACTCTGGTGCAGCAAGCCTAAACGATTGTCCACATAACGCACGACCAAGCCGAACGTGGACATCCTGGCAGACTGTAGCAAAGCCTGTCCGAAATACATGTGCTCGTACAAACTGACGACAGCGTGGCATGCGGCTGGCGAGAAGTGGCTGCTCATAGGCGCTCCACGTAGTTGTTGAATGGTCTGACCACCAACCGTGAAGAGTGTGAACTTGAAGGATACTCGTACAGCTTCGAGGAAGAGACACATGGGAACAGCAACATGCTTGTCATGAACCAAGCAACGTCGACCGCGTATTGTTTTCATGACTGAAAGGTCATTTGCGAGATCAGCGGTGATGATTGCATCTTGTAAACGGTCTTCCAGGTCTTCATCAGCGCAGTCATAGAATTTGGTCAACAAACATTACACCAGCGAAGACCCCAAACAGCAATAAATCAATCAAGATGTTGCGTGAATTTCGAACAAGACAGCAAACTCGAAACGACAACACTTTGTACAGGACGGAGACAACAGTTTAGGATTTAAGGTTAAGGTTCAGGGTTAGGG